GACAAAAAAGAAACGCAGACAAACAGGGAAGAGCAAATGTTCTTTCATTTGATGAAGGAGATTTAGTTCTACTGTCTACAGTAAATCTACCAAAACACGCAGTGACAAACGTGGGCAGCAGTAAATTACAGCCCAAGTATATCGGTCCATTTCGTGTGTTGCGCCGAATGGGCAACGCATACACGATTGAACTGCCCTGTAAGATACGTACGCATCCTACGTTTTACGTTGGTCGCCTCCGCCCGTACTGTCAGTACGAGACCGTTTCGAGATGCGAAGAACCCCTCTGCGGTCGAGAGCCGAGATCACCCTCGAGTGGTCCCGTTTCAACGAGCCAGTTTGGTCGACTAGCGAAACGACCTGCTCACGCAGTTGAGTAATGTCTCAACGAGCTGCAGCCAGCTCATCACGAAGAGAACGAGTCGAACGTTCGTTCTCGAGTAGCGCGAACGCAAAGCGGCACGATCATCCGAACGATCGTGCATTAGGGAATTGTAAACATCCCTTACAAGATCCTCAAGCTCATAACGCCGAGTACTTTCGTGATCCAGGTCATCTTGCAACTCTTCCGTTACACGGTTCAGCTCCTGAATATCAAGTTGATCCAACCCTCAAGCCGGAATAAGTGTTCCCGCCGCCAACACATCATTTGGTGGACTCAAGCGGTGGTCAACGCTTTCCAGTGGAGCGTATTTTGAACCACCACGATGTGAATGGCGTCCGGACGAGCTACTTCGTCTGCTGGCGTGGCTATCCACCGGCTTAGGACAGTAGTGGAGCGTATTTTGAACCACCACGATGTGAATGGCGTCCGGACGAGCTACTTCGTCTGCTGGCGTGGCTATCCACCGGCTTAGGACAGCTAGGAGCCTCGTGCCCAGCTGATTGTTGATGTCCTTGGTCTCGTCGAGCAGTAAGACGAGACCCATCCGCTGCGTTCGAAGAAGGGCCGTCGGAGAGTGACCTCCCCAAACGCGAGTACAAGGATTGCAAGGTGTTTATCCCTTCGGCCACCTCGGAAGAGATGCGCGACCTCCAGTAGGGATCATTGGAGAGGAAGGCCTCCATAGGGGCACGGTTCGATTTGTCCAGGCAACCTAGACACAAATCATCCCACGAGAGACAGCGTAATCCTGCCTCTCTTGAAAGTCGGTGCAACTTGTATCGCACCCCTGCTGGGGTGCGTTTCTCAAACCTGATGCAAGCTGCATCAAGTTTGGAGAGCCAGGCCTCATGGACAATGCACTCGATGTTGTGGATGAGGGCATTCCATCCCTGCGCCAAGGCTTTGCCGTCTCGAACACGGCTATTACTATACCACCGATGTTTAAAAAATGTATCGGTGAAGAATTCTTCCTCAGCACAGATAGTTTCCGTGCTGGGATCAGGTGGGCAAAACTTCCAGCAATCGAACAACTAGATTCGATCCCTTTCGAAATTCATGCTGGCCAACCGGTCTAACTCTCTGTATGGCGGCATCCAAGGAGACTCTACTTGGGGAGCGTGGCGCAGGACATTTCGGTCCCTGGCCTCTGGATTGGTGCCAGCATGAGCACTGACACCAGTGACACCTCGATCCCTCGAATTACTACGCTCGTGGTGACGTATAGGTGCATCACCACCATTTCCACGCGTCCTATCGTTGAATGGGCTCGCGCGAGGCGAGGATTCATTGGAACAATCGCTCGATCCGAATATCTTGGACATGATACCGCCGTGTTGACTAGATCCAGTCAACCTGGCTCTTACAGCGTCCGCCCCGGTGATCCAGAAGCGTGAGTTGTCGCCTTCGAGTCGGATACATCACCTGACTCGCCAGAATAAATGAGCTCTATCAAAGGATCATCTAGATTACGATTCGCGGTACCCGCTGCAGACTCAGCGGGTGTACCTGTCGCACGTGGTGACTCACCACGTGGACTGTTCATAGCAGCAGGCGACGAATCACCTGCTGCTGAGGTGTGAGAGGTACCCTCTCCGGCTGCACACATGCGTGCAGCTGCCTTTCTTGCTACTGCAGTAGCAACTCGCGTGGTTTTCGAAACCATGCGTTGGATTGGTAACTGAATGGAATCTAACCGAAAAGTGCTCCCTTTGCCAGAGTGATCCAATGATGGTCACCCTGTCCCAATGAATTCCATTCAATCAACGGGTGATTGATGGTCAAGGGGTCGGGTGATGTAACGGGGTAGTCCATACCATGAAATTGACACCAAATGGTGTCAATAGGAACATTGTCTAGTATGACAATATCCCACCAATATTATCCGGGATGGATAATATTGAAGGAATTTTATCCCCTTTCAGATAATATTAGTGTGCTGCTCCAAGATTGGTTGATATAAGACATATCAACCATAGATTGCCACCAATCGCTGCTAGACGCGCGCAATGAGTGGTGAGCAGGTTGTCGTCATACGACGACGTAGTTTAAAATAGTTAGATAAAGGTCAAAGTTAAATTGATAGCTTAACTATATCAAGTACAGTTCTCTTTTTACCTTTACTCAAACTAGCTAATTGAGTAGATTAGCTTCTACTGCACGTACTAGTGTACGGGAAGTTTCGTGGCGCCCAGACAAAGGGTGCCCCGTTACAGCTCCGGTCTAAGTCGCGAAAGTCGCATCCGTCTCAATAAAATCAAGTTGTATTTAATTCATTGCCCCTATAATTGGACCGCGGGCACGAAACGACCAGTGAGCGTGAATGCATTTCCCACTTAAAAAAATAGGCTGACGCAGGATGGCTTATTTTATTCCCTGTGATTTGTCGAAAAATGATATTTGCCAGCATGAAGTCTTACAAAGATAGGGAATTGTTACTTCCACCACACTTTTCTATTTCCACCACACCTTTTCTATGTCCACTATTCTTTTTTACTACTCATCATTCGCCATAACTTTGTCTGAATAACATCAGGCGTACCACGCTACACATCACTACAGTTACCACAGCTTCACTCCCAACCCCACTATTCAGCTACGATATCTGGTAAGCGCACCCTCGACTTGCCACAGATTGCGAGTGATGGTTTGAAAAGATCGGGTAGCACTAAGTATTTTTTTCATAGTTGTGCGCAATTATTTATTCAGTCGGATGGGCGACCACAAACAAGTTGCTGCCTTTCAGTGCCTTACGATCTTCCTGTCAATGTTGTACGCATTGTAAAATGTTCTGAAAAGCAGATAAATGTGTATAGACTACTTGTAATTGCTGCATCGCTTTAACTTCGTGTAAACAATAATAAGAGCGTTTGATCGTCCTAACGCTCGGGTAGAAGCTGATATGAGAACACAAAGTTTGCATAAGATTTAACTTTCTGCAGAAACTGGTTTATTAGGCTTAAATCCAGTGATGAATAAGCTTCGCTGTATATGATGTCTGGTCTTAAGCAGTGTATACACCCTGGGTCTTGTCGCGTTCGCGTCCTGCTGGCACTCGCGTGTAAAGTCAGTGACTATCTTCACCTTCAGTTTCTAAAATACTTACTCACTGTAGACAGCAGAAACGTCACCGAAGGTATCTTCCACAGCAGATACACCCCTCTACGAATCATAGTATTGTCTCACCTTTCTTCCTTTTCTTCCTTGTCGCTTGTTTCTCATGCGAACGCTGGCGACGTAAAATTGTAGCTAAGCTTGTCATCCAGCTTCTGTATCAGATGCCGAAGCAATGGATGGCGTTCTCCACAATTTGTTTATAACTGACATGGAAATGGCTTGACTTCTGGACTGCAAACTCGTGGTCGGCTACCGAAAGGTATCAGTTAATCAGGATTCGGCGCATGTGTGTGGGAAAGCAAACGCATTCGCTGGCTCCCGACTATATTTTCACACCTTGTATCGATGCCACAGCTAGGAAGTTCTCCTACTATCCGCGTAAGAGCATGTGGTGGCATGTGCGAGTTAAAACTCAAGTTATTTTGACCAAAGTAAGGCGTGGTGGAATCAGTAAAATTTGTGGTAGGGATAGTACAAAGTGTGGTGGAAATAGTTAAAAATGTGGTGGAAACTACTATTCACAGAAATAAGCTTCTTGGTTGCGAGAGAAAATGATCGTGTCCGCTGGTGCACAAAAAAGTGTTATCGAAGGACATGTAGTAAGAGGGGGGCGCTTACGCTGTAGCTGTTATTTTTTTCTATCTGATTTATCATTTTGGTAGATCCAACACGTACTTAATCAGGTACGCAGCTTTCTCTCCATCAGATCAGGCTTCTTTTGAACATGTGGGCCATGTATCATCCTAGCTCTCTTTCCAACACTCATCCCAAGGCGCTCTTGTTAATCTCAGGCTAATCTCAACCCGCAATTCCACCATCCTTAGCGCTGGCATACCTATAGCCATCAAATCTGCAAGCATCTCTTTGGTACACACGTACTCTGGTTGCACCATTCCTTATTCGCTCGTGTCTCGTATGAACTTTAATTTCACGTCCACGTGCTTCTGACTACTTGATGTCGCTTCTTTCGCTTTCTGCTTAATAGCTGCTTGATTGTCTATCAGTATTTTCATCGGCATCTTCACGCTCACCCCAAGTTCGCCCAGTAGGTTCTTCACTCCAAGCAATTATTTAGCTCCCATGGCCACCGACACAAATTTTGCCTCGGCGGTAGACAGCGCCACGGATGACTGCTGCTTTACTTGCCATCTCACCGGCATTCCTGCTATTAGCATTATTACACCGCTTACTGATTTTCTTATGGTCTTGTAAGCAGCATAGTCAGCGTCCGTATAGCTCACTATTTCCACACTTTCGCAATCGGTTGTTCCTTTCATGTAAGCTTTTAGCCCAACAGTTCCTGCAAGATACCGCAATACGCGCCTAGCTATCTTCATGTCTTGTTTAGTCGGCGCGAAACTCTGTTTGGTGGCTCGATGCACTGCGTAATCTGTATCTGGCCTGCTTCATCGAGCCACCTACCGCAAACTTCCCACTAGTGATTGGAAGCTTTTCACGCTCGACCTCTCCGGCGTTAAAGGTCCTCTCTCAGGCAAGATTATTACTTTTCGCTCGCCGACTCCAAAGATGACTCGTCTGCGATCGGCGCTCGTACCGCGTTCGCTTTTTCCAGTCCGTTTTGCTGCAGCATTTCAGTGATCGCATGCTCCTGGTCGACTTTGTGCCCAACCTCCATATTGAACGAAATACGCATTTTAAAAAAAAAATCCTCAACTGGTCCCAGATCCTTTAATTCCAGACTCGCCAGGTCTTTACTAGACTGGTTTAAAAGTCCCTCGTCGGTCTTAGTAGTCAACAAATTATCCACATAAACGCCCACCACTATAGTCCGCAAACCAAGCATCTAGAAGTAAACACACGCGTCAGTGACAGGCTGTGTAAAACCTACCTGCACTAATATTTGGTGCAGCAGTTAGTTCCAGAGCCTCCCAGCTTGATTGAGCCCATGGATGCTCTTACCAAGACGAAGGCACACATCTTAATCGTCTTTTGCTCCCAAGCGTGTAAGATCTTTGCCAGGGATTCTCATGCCTTTGGGGACGCTTAGGTAAATCTGAATGTATTCCTCTTTATAGGCCTTTAGGTAGGCGCTGGGGGGCATCGTAGTGTCGCGCACATTTACACCGTGATCGTTCCACCGCCAAAATCACCATCCCGCTCGTCATGTCAATTACCGTGGAGAATATTAAGTTATAGTCTCATCTCAAAACTTGTTCACCTCCAGCTGCGACTAGACGGGCCTTTGAGCGCTCGACAGCGCCATTTCCATCTTTCTACTTCTTTAAACCCACATGCTTTGCAAAAGGTTGCATGTTAGGGCCACGTCTGATCACTTTCTAAGTCTAATTTGCGACTAGTGAGGCGATCTCCTCCGCTCGCGTTTGTGCCCAGAAATGCGCGTCTGCTACCTCGAGTGAAGCTTCATAGTACTTGAGGTCGGGCAAGTATGTGCACGTCTCCTCCCCTGCCTCCAAGGCCGACATGGCAGTGATAAGAGCAGTAGTAGCACATTGTGCGGTATGTCTTTTGGAGTTATGCGCATCGTGTTCGTCCGTGGTTTCAAGTGCTTCGTCAGCCATTTTCTGGCGTCTCGACCTTCTGCGTAGTCTATTCGAGCGTCTCACACTCAAGCTCGGGTCCCGTCGACTTCCTCGTGGCCGGCTGTTGTCGTTGTGCTATTAACTTCTGCAATAGTGACACGCTCCTCCCGTCTTGGATTGCGTTGTCTATTAAGCGCGAGCCTTTCGAAAGCATCCTCTGCCTCATCGTAAAAAAACTTGTGTAAGCTGCTAAATATTCTCCAGCGTAAGCGTTTCGATCTGGCTGACGTGTCGTGTCGTTATTACGGTCTTGTATCGAGGCTGATAAACTTGGTACCCTTTCGTCTCCTCATTTTTCCCAATAATAATTCCCACGGAGCTGCGTTCGCCTGTAGACTTGTTCGTAGAAGATAGAACACCATGAATATTCGAACTTTTGGCCGCTTTAATTTTGGTCGTGGCCACAAATATGCGGACATAGTTGGATTTATGATCCACAAAATTTACTAAATACCGGTCTCTCTTGCGATCCACGGGAGCAATTGGTTCTGTTATGTCGCTGCAAATTACACCACCCACCACATCAATCAATGAATTTTTCCCGCTGTTCTTGCGTGGCTGGGCATTCTTAGCTTGTTTGCCTTCGGCACAGGTCACATAATTTTCCCGTACTCGATCCGTGAGCTCGTTCCCATTGCCAGGATCGGCAGCCAACCATTAAATGTCACCGTATTTGAGGTGTCCAAAGCGTCGATGAACGTTCCCTAGACTCCCCTTCAAAACCGTTGCCGCGTTTGGTGCTGACGCTTAAACTGTATTCATCACAATGTCGCGCACTCCCTTCTCTTCATGTACTGACGTGCCTCAATTCACAACTAGGACATTGTTATTGATCTGCACGTACATTATCACGCTGCCATCTTTTACGATGGCGTATCCTTTGCTTGTGCACTAAGCTTACACCCTTGTAGCTTCAACGTACCCATCAATATCAGTTAATGCAGAGCGTTGGCGCATAACGTGTGTTCTTCAGCTCCACCCAATATTTCTCGTCACCTACTTGAACTCTGATCCTCGCCTTTCCGAGTCTATTCACTCGCAGCGTTCTCTTGCTCTTGTCCGCCTACTCGTAAAGCATGCTCTCATCTCGTGCTAGGTGTGCGCTCGACTCTGAGTCCACTATCCAGTATTGGTCTATGAGATCTCCAGCGACTAGACCCACCAGCGCCCATCGTGGGTTTTCACCTCTGTCTACCTTATTTGGACAGTTTCGCGGTATACGGCCCACTTATAGTGCAGATCACGCAGGTTACTGTCTCGGTGTACCGCCCGTTGGCGGCTGCGGAAACTCGGACTGGCCTCACTAATCGTCTTTCGTTATCTTCGTTTGTTTGCGCACATCGAGTTATTTCAAGCGCGTGGATTACGTAATCTGTTCTATTCTTGTCAAATTGACTCGCCAGCACTGGCCTCAAATCAGGGCTCGCGTGCAGCACCAGAATATCAGGTATCAGCGACGACGACGCTCATGTCGCGTTTCGGACTGCCATAAGGTACAGGTAGTTTTAGTGCCACGTATAACCACTGCTCTTCTCGCCCAAAAGAACTCCGACACTTGTGCGCCTTAAAGCTTCTGGAGAACGCTAACTCCATCTCTTCAAGCGCGTAGCTAAGTGTCAGCTCGATCTCCACCAACCTTCTCGAAGTCCCATGAAGAACTCTTCTGCCTCTCCACAATTGCATCCTCCCAGTTTGCTTATCTTAAACTTCTCAGCCAATCGGTATTCACAAGTTTGCTGTAACATTTCAATCTCGTCTCGAAACCCTCGTGCCCAATACTTTCATTAGCTCCCAAATCTTTATATAGTTCCTTTCCAGTATACACCCTCGTGTTTATTTTTTCATCATTGGCGGGTGGGATCCGCGTCCCTCCTCCGCTCTCCAATATCGCCGCTTCGTTGCGAATAGCACTCGCCCGCAAGACTTCATTTGCTATTGCCGAGATTGCTGCACTTAAGCTTCTCGGCTCCTCTTTTAATGTTGCGTGGACAGCCGCTTCCGACCTGCGGCGTGTATCGCCGCGCTCCTCCGCATCTCGCATTCTTTGCTCGATCTGCGCGGCTGTCAACTGCGCTTGTCGCCATGCCTCCCCAGCCTCGGCTTAAGCTTGCTGTACACCTAGGGCGTCTTTAATTAAAACTGCTTCTCGTTGGCGTTGTTTTTCTATGACTCTTCTTGCTTCATCACCCAATGCTTGTTCTCGGAGGTGTAACGGGGCACCCTGAAGCTTGTACTGGTGACAGTACAAGCTACTTATTCTGATGACAGAATAAGGCGGTGCCTCGTAATTTCACGTACACTCGTACATGCAGAGGAAGACGGTAAGAAGAAGGGAGTACTTGGTTAAAGTAAACAGTAGAACTGTATTTATCATAGTTAATGTCTGCAATAAAGCACTATTTATCTTCATCTAACTATGTCTGAATACAAATGTGCATATCGACTATCTGCTCACCACTCATTGCGTGCGTCTGTCGTGGCGCGTCTTCGTTGGTTGATATAATGGCCTTTATCAACCAATTAGGAACTACTCGTAAGTGCTACAGAATATTTGTCCTTATGACAATATTCTGAGAATACAACTCTTATAGTTATATTCTATTAACAGTTTCTAATAAATTGTTATGTAACGATTCACCCCGTTACAGGTGGCGTTGGGCTTCCCACTCGTCCAGTATTTTCTGCTCGTGTCTTGTAAGCTGTGCTCCTTATTTCTCACGACTCATAGTTGCTCCTCGTGTCGTCCAACGAATTCCTCTCGTTCCGACTAATACCTTGCCTGCAGATTCCCGATTTCCTGCGCCTGTAGCTTCGCTTAGACTCTCAATGCCTCGCATTGCTACCTCTGCTATTCAGCCTCTCCCTGCAACTGTCCATGCGCCCTCGCGTACGCTGCGTGGTGTTCAACCTGCTGTTGGGTTGTGGGCATCTGATGCCGCGTGCAGTGCCATCCGTGCACAGGCATACTCAGTGCAGTGCTTCTGTTGTTCTTGTCTCAGGGCTTGTCTTTGAGTCCGTAAACTCGCGTCATGGACTCGGGACCCGGTCCCGGATAAATCCCCCAAGTCATCGACATCCAAATGTCTTGCTGACACCGCCTTTACTTCTTGTGGGGTGGCCTCTATCATCCTTAGGTGCTCTCCTCGGACCGGTCTCTCTTCCAGTCCAAAGGTGAGCGCTGTCGGGTCAGGTAAGGTGAGTCTCTGCACCTCCAGCTCTTCGACCCTGGCCATCATTGCAGCTTGCTACCACATCAAGATGACCAACTCCGGTCATATTACTTCCCCGTTGTTGCTGCTTAAACTTTCAGGGGACGAGCGAACGGCTCCTTGCCGTCTTCCATCGACGCAGCCATTGCTTGTCGAATATCGTCTCGCTGCACATTATCCCCCCGGTCCATTGGGCTCGTAACCTGTTAGCAAAGTACCTTTGGTAAGAGAAGACTTGAGCTGTAGCTGTTCTTTTTCTTACTGATTTATTATCTTGTTAGATCCTACACATACCTAGTCAGGCACTCAGCTGTCTCCCCATCAAACTAGGTATCTTCTGAGCATGTGGGCCGTGTACCATCCTAGCTACCTTTTCAGCAAAAAGAGTCATCGTAGCGGGCGAGTGAAGTCTGTCTCATCAGTGAAAGATTAACGTCAGCACAAGGAAGAGGTGCAGATAATGCATGCATCCAATGCTTAACTTCGCGAGATATAAGTAAATAATGCGGTGTATCCTAAAAGGTAACTAGTGCGTGACCTCCTCAAGCACCTTGTCGATAAAAAATGTCGTCGTTCTTATCGATGAATTGAAAAAGACGAAATTAAAAGCGCCGGTAAGCAGTGTCCTGTGGAGCAAAATACGTGCGAGGTGGCAAAGGTATACCATAAAACATACAATCGGGATGAGAACATCAAGTGAGCCGGATGTGACAAAAAAAGCTAAAGAGGGCGCAAAACAGCGATGATGAACCACTCGCCCCACATAATGGCCTTAATTAAATCAATGGTCGGTAAGCAGCAGGTTGTTGGTAGGCTTTAGGTTTCCAAAGTATGCACGGGGTTTTTGATGTCATTACCTGAGGCCAAATCTTTGGTTGCAGTACGTGTATTTTTTATCTACCCGTTACATGAAATTGACATCAATCGGTGTCAATAGGAACATTGTCTAGTATGACAATATCCTACCAATATTATCCGAGGCGGATAATATTGAAGGAAATTTATCCCCTTTCGAATAAGATTCATGCGCTGTTCCACGATTGGTTGGTATAAGACATATCAACCATAGATCACCACCAATCGCTGGTAGACGCGCGCACTGAGTGGTGAGCAGGCTGTCGTCGTACGACGACGTAGTTTACTATTGTTAGATAAAGTTTGAAGTTAAATTGATAGCTTAACTATATCAAGTGCAGTTCTCTTTTTACCTCACTGACCGAGTCGTTCAAGTAGATTAGCTTCTACTGCACGTACTAGTGTACGTGAAGTTTCGTGGAACCTAGACAAAGGGTGCCCCGTTACACCCGGTAGCACTTTGTAGTCCTTCCAACGACTAGTCAGTGCCCGTCCAACATGTTCAATTTGGACGTACAAGACGACATCTTTCACGTCACACGTGAAGGCTACTCGCATCTGAGTGACTCAGAGTGGGAGATATTCGGCCGCATGAGTGTGCTCATGGGCTAACCCGCCATCAGTGGTATGTTGGAGTCTTTAAACAAAGACCATCAACATGCTGCTATCAACAAGTTCCTACACGAAGAACTTGCCGTCGAAAGACAGAAGATCGCCCTGTTAAAGCAGCAAGGCTCTCACCAGTCGATGGACGGGCCGACGCGCATGCGTCAAATTGAAACATTGAAGATAGATATCTCAAGGTACAAGGGAACCGATGAAGATTTTCTTTTGAAATGGTTTGTCGAGTCAGACGATTCCATCAGGGCCCGTCATATCGAGGGTGATGAGATGTAAGTCACCTTCTCCCTGTCAAACTTGACACGTCGAGCAAAGAATTGGGCCTTAGGACTCAAGCTTCACGACCCAAACTTGTTTCAGTCGTTGGAGATCATGAAGTCTCGGCTCATGGAGACGGTTGAGCCGTCGAGAGCCGAGTTTAGAGCACGCTCTGCACTCTTGAGTATAAAGAAAGGTAAGCGTGACGTGCACGCTTATGCACAGCATCTACGCTACCTTGCGAGTAGGGTTACGTAAAACCCTGTTGATGAGCACACGCTCATTAGCATGTTTATCTACGGCTTTGTAGGTGGGCCGGTGAAGACCTACATGTTCCGAGAGGACCTCTTTACGCTAGAAAAAGCGATAGCGTATGCCAAACAAGAAGACTTCAGCCTGAGACAGTCTCAGGCTGACTCGTCAAATTATCGTCCGACGAGACGACAGGAAACCGGAGGTTCCGAGCCAATGGACCTCTAGTACATCGAGAGCGAAAACTCTCGCTCTCTGAGTCACAGGCGAACGACAAGATGCCATCGCTGTCAGAAGATTGGGCACTACGCTCAAGAGTGTAGTGTCCCAAGCACTGCAACAGGACGTGATGATCACCAATGGACAAGCAAAGGTCCAAGGCGTGGGTCCGCCATGTCGCTAAGGCGCGACAGAAAGTCGGACCGTAAAAAAACGGTCAGGGTCAGTAGGGCGGAGCACCCTGCTGATCCAGCAACGTCAAGATAATTTGCAGGACTCTTGACGAAGATTGCGCCCAACACAAAGTCGCTGTGTGTTACTGCTCCTAGTGATGAGGAGTCTCTCATCACTTTAAAGATCGAAGTGACAAGTAAAATGTCACTTCGCGCCCTAGTTGACTGTGGGGCGTCGAGCAGTTTCATTCGACGCCAGTCACTAGAGGATAGTAAAATCAACTATGTTATGCGAGAGTTCCCTCCAACGAGGATGACGGTGTGCTTTGCTACAGGCGCATCCGGAACAGTGAAAAACGTGTAGTGGGAATCCACTACACGCTAGAAGGAAGCAGTACGATGATGACTTTATCGTATTAGATTTGGATGACAAATTTGATGTCATTCTTGGTCTGCCATGGCTTAGAAATTACCAGCCATGGGTTAGCTGTCAGCATCGATCCGTGAAGATGCCTACCGTTTGTTCATCAGATGGCAATCTGATTAACGTCTTGGAGCGTCCACAAGCGTGTGGATGGACTACAAGGGAGTGCGATGGCCTCACTTGTGGTACGGTCGTTAGTGTGGATGCACAAGATCACAGTGTAGAAGGCCACTGCACTGTGGAACCAGCTTCCAGCACCTGTGGAGAGACACAGGCTGCGCCGATGGTCCACCACTCGAAGAAATCAAGTGGACTGGAACACGGATGCACACCAAGAATGGTGAATCCGAGAATTTAAATTAGTCTAGTTCAGGATGAACAACTCGTTGAAGCGACTACCAGAGAGTCGATCGAAGAGGACGTGAATGTGGTAGTACAACCACAGTCAGTACACGTAATGGAAGAAATTTCCAGCGTTCCTGATAGGGATAACTCCCGAGGGAGTTTTGTTGAGGGTGCGGATCCCCTACCACCTGCGGATGTGCTTTCCCAGGAAAGCACCGAGACAGTGAATGTCTTGGTAGATGACGGATCAAGTGTAGGCGCTTATACACTTGATCTGGTTACACCTCCAAATTCAGCTTTGGGGGTAGTCAAGTTGCCAACGCTATAATCTAGAAGATTCTTGCGAGACCTACGTAGTAACAAGATCAAGCAGATCTGCGTGCTCGTCACAAGGACGAGTATGTCGCCGATATTCGGTCGGCACAAGTGTTTGCTGAGAACGAACGTGTTCTCAGTAGCTCATAGACGGACGAGAGTGTCCTCGATGAGAAGACTCGGATTGAGCGATACACGTCTCAATCTTGGAAGTCTTTGAGAACAAATCCTTTGTATAAGGATTTGGTTGAATTCAGGGATGTTTTCCCTGAATCCGTGCCATGCGAGCTGCCCGAGGACAAAGGCAATCGGCATGAGATCGAACTGAAACCCGGTTCGAAATACTGTGTCATGAAGCAGTGGCCACTGCCTCGTGAACAGATCACAGCGATCGACAAATTCTTTGTCGATCGATTAGCGGCTGGTCATGTGATAGAATCAACATCCCCACACAGCTCTCCGACCTTCTGTGTGCGAAAGGCCACAGGAGGGTGGCGGATTGTGCACGCGTTCAACAAGTTGAACGCTGCAGCGGTACCTGCTCAAACGACGATACCAAGAAAGGATGTCAGCATAGATGGTATGGAAAAAAGTAACATCTTTTCATCTATGGATTAAATGGATGGATTCTATCAGATCCTTATGCGTGAACGGGATATCGCTTACACAGCAGCGAGCACCCCCATTGGTATGCTCTGGGAGTGGCTAGTGATGCCACAGGGGCTAAGTAACGCCCCCGCAACGTTTAACAGATGTGTTACAAATCTGTTGCGATCGGTGCTCGATTTCGCACCGAGTTACTTCGACGATGTCTTCGTCCATAGCCGTGCTATGGATGGAAAGACGGACGTGGAGGTTCATAAAATACACGTCCGGAAGGTTCTTACTCTAATGCGAGAGCACAAGTTGTTCGCTAACCTCAAGAAGTGTATATTCGCAGCGAACGAAATACCACTTCTTGGCTGCATCGTGGGTAAAAACGGTGTACTTCCTGATTCGGAAAAGGTCAAGGCGATTAGCGACTGGCCTGTGCCAGTCGAAGTCAAGGGACTTTGAAAGTTCCTTGGCTTGGCGGCGTACTTGCACAAATACTCGCGCAACTATGCCGAGATGGCCATACATCTCTCTCGTATGCTGTAGAAAAACGAGTGGTGGTCATGGAGCGCTGAGTGTCAGCACTCGTTTTGAATGCATCAAGAAAAGCTTGATGCAATCGCTTGTGTTGGCGATTGCAGACCAGGACAGACCATTACATGTGTCTGTGACGCCAGTAATTTGCAACCGGTTGCGGGTTAATGCAGTACGACTCAGACGGAGTTGAGCGCGTCGTCTGTTATGAATCGCGCCAGCTGCAAGCAGCTGAGCGAAATTATCCGGTGCATGACAAGGAACTTCTTGCCATGCAATATGCACTGGCCAAGTTTCGGGTATATCTCTTAGAAGACAGGCCCTTCATCGTTTATACCGACCATGCGTCATTACGCACGGCCGTAAACGGTCCACACCTCACGCAACGAATGGCGAGGTGGCTGTCTTTCTTCGCGGAGTACAACTTCTCCGTCGAGTATAGACCAGGAAGACTTAATGTCGTCGCAGATGCTCTTTCGCGTCGGCCCGATTTCGAACCGACTGCTCGACCCAACAGTAAGTTTGATGCCACTGTTGAGACACTAACAGCGATTATTCCATCGTCGAGTCTGCTCGACGACGTGCGGAAGGCGTACGCAGAAGATGAATCTCTTCTGCTAAGGATGGATTCCGTGTATAATCCATGCAGTAAAGCTTTGAAAAGCTTGTCGTCTCAATACCGCTCTTCAACCGAACGGTATTCGGCTCGTGATAGACTGCTGTAATATACAGCAGTCAACGGCGACACACCTCGTGTTGTCCTTCCCTCTCACAATAATTTGCGATTGCACATCATGTATGTGTCACGATGCCCCAACACGTGGGCATCGCGGTAGAGAAAAAACTTACCGCACGGTAAGTCGTGAATTCTACTAGCCTCGCCAGTGCGAGTATGCGCGCAAAAACATTCGTGCTTGCGGATTTTGTCAACGGGTGAAGCCTAGTCCTTCATCCCGCGCACCCTTGCAGCCTCTACCGATTCCGGCAGAGTGTTGGCAGTCCGTATCGATGGACTTCGTCTTCGGGTTTCCCAAAGACGCTCACAAGAATACTGTTATTCTTGTGTTTTTTGATCGGTTCAGCAAGATGGTACATCTTGTTGCTGTACCGGAGTCAATCACAGCCCAGGGCTGGCTCGTGTCTTCATCGATACTATCTTCCGACTTCACGGGTGAGCCCGTGAACTCGTGTCTGATTAGGAAACCCGCTTTAGAGCGGAGTTCTGGAAATCCGTGTTCCGTTCACTTGGAACACGTTTGAAGATGTCGACTTCTGACCATCCAGAAACAGAAGGTCAGACGGAACGCGTCTACCGCGTCCTCGAAGCGATACTTTGAGGGCATTTCCACTCGTTCAAGAGTTAGTGTGAGTTCTTGGCGATGGCGGAATTCGCCATCAACAACTCGGTGCATGCTTCTACAACGCATGCACCGGTCTTCGTGAATGGCCTACGCCATCCACGTTATATGCCTTCTTAGAGTGTGACTCTAGTTTAAGGGAGGGGGTGGAATCGCTCGAACAAAAACCGGTCTGGTTCTTGTTCATCAACCGTCGACGATGATGTCGGCGTGACGGATACTGACGTCGATGCGATCGACATCGATGATGATGATGACGACGCTGGTCGCCAACGACTGCCACAGTGAGGACGACGACGCCCTCACTGGTGAAAGCAACGTTCTCTCAGCAGTGCACACGAAGCGCACTGCTGTTGACAAGGATAAATCAGCAGAGGAATTTCTGCTGACTCGCGAAGCGGTTCTCCGCTTCGTTCAAGAATCTTTTGCAGTTGCACTAGTCAGACATAAAAGAAACGCAGACAAACAGGGAAGAGCAAATGTTCTTTCATTTGATGAAGGAGATTTAGTTCTACTGTC